CCCGGGCTGGGGATTCGAACCCGCCACCTTAGGTGTATGTGGCTGGCGCCTTAGCCGCTTGAGCCACAGGCGCCGAGCCATATTATTTAAATTTTTTACTCATGTTATTTTTGGAGTCAGAAAACTCAAAACATTTTAAAAATAAGCAAAAGACCAATAAAATGAAAGGGCTTCTCTTTTGAATGTAATTTTTAATTCCCATTTTATGATAGCTCAAATCAATTACTGAGATTGTGCTCAGCTAGAATCTCTATACCATCACCGCTGCCTTTTTTTTTTAATAATCACAGAATCCTATCTCCTAGAGCTTAAGGAACTTGCTGCTCTGAGCCAGCTCTCTGACCATGAGCAGGTAAAATTCATATTTTGACTTTCTAAACAGGCCATTAAAACCCAAAGAAGTTCTGTCACTTTCACAAGTGGTGCTATCTTCATGCCATACTGCTCGTTAGTGGACTGACCTTGTCTACCTTATTCCAAAAGACTCCCAACAAGCCAAGTGCTCTGGAAAGATTTCCTTAGCAACAATCCACTATGAAGCCTAGTCTATTTCTACCACGTAAATCTCAACTCTCTCTAGTCAGTGGCAAGGTTTGAACTCTTCTTACCATTGGATCAGAAGTGAAGTCACCTTCACTATTAAAAAATGAAGGTCACCTTCTCCATATCTCTCAAAGAGCTACTACATTAAATAGTCTGATTAAATGAATTAAATTTTGCAAAGAGATAAGTTTCAAAGCAGTAGGATGCAGGTACCATTATTATTACCTTTGTAATTTTAACTAAAGCCCTTTGGGTTTAGAAAAGAATAATTAGGCTCGGCGCCTGTGGCTCAAGCGGCTAAGGCGCCAACCACATACACCTAAGGTGGCAGGTTCGAATCCAGCCTGGGCTGCCAAACAATAATGGCTGCAACCAAAAAACAGCCGGGCGTTGTGGCGGGCGCCTGTGGTCCCAGCTACTTGGGAGGCTGAAGCAGGAGACTCGCTCGAGCCCAGGAGTTGGAGGTTGCTGTGAGCAGCTTGAGGCTCTGTCTCAGAAAAAAAAAAAAGAAAAGAATAATTATAGATCAGAATAACCTAGACAGATGATTCCATGCAGATTTCAGGCTACCTCCAAACTCTCTGCTGAATAGACTCATAAGCCACCCAGACCTGTGAACAGCTTAGAGTACTACCCCAGGTTTACAGTGAGAAGAACTGGAGTGCAAAGAACTTGTGCTTGTACTTGTACTATCTCCAGGGCCATAGCTCTCTAGGAGAGGGAAGCCTTAAGTTTAGGCTGGCCTAACTCCAAAGCTACCGACTAGCCTGCAATTATTCAGTCTTGCTCTACGTGACACTATACTTCTCTTTTTGGCAACTGCAAATACTTCCCTTTTGGGGTCAACTATTTCTTAAAAATATTCCTTGTCAAAGATTATAGATCTAAATCATAAATAGAAAGAAAGGTGACACTTTTCCTGTTTGATATATCTACATTAGTTGTGCAAACAAAGATTAAGACAGGATAGAAGAAAACAGAGATTTTGGATGTCTTTAGAGGGAGACTGTATTTGTCATGAGCCCAGTTTTGTCTGCTTATTTTAGCAGTAGTACTTGGAAACGGAAGTTCTCAGGTCTCTGTTTTTAACTAACCTTCTGAAGGTCTGTGGGAATATCTCTAACACCCTGGAGACAGATAATAACACTTCTAATAAAAGCACCAAAATCATACAAAGAGGGCCCTTTAAAACATTTCAGTTGATTAAAAGGTTCTCAATAGTTTCCCCAGATCAATAACTGATTTGATCTGACTATATGAATGTAATAAAAAAGTATAATTATGTTTTCTGATATTTGTAATTAATTTTTACTTATTTGCCTTGTTTAAACTCAATAAATGCTAAATAAATGAATGGATGACTTACTAAGGTAGGAGAAATGCTTTCATAAAAGTAACATGAGATCTTGGACATGACGGTGACATTGGTATGTGCTCCAATCTGCCTTGGACCCCTTCTGGACCCCTGAAGATATCTGTGCTCAGGACAACGACTCAGGACTAGGAAAGGTAAAGCATCCTAACACTGCTGTTTTCTAGGATTTGAAGCCAGAAAGGGGGCCTGCAAGATGGAGTCTGAGAAGCTAAGCTGAAGCAGCACAGCTGACCCGCTCAGCCTTCCCCACATATCTGTGATTATCTAGTTAAGATCTCTCCTGATTATGAGGATGTTTCCCTCAAGGAGACTCTGAGAAGGAGTCACACAGAGATAACAGATGTCATCATATTAGTAAAGGTTCCTTTGATGATATGACATCTTCTCTGATGATTCTCTTAGATATTTGGTTGAAGTAAAAATCATACTTCTGTTGTTTAAATATTTTGTATTGTTAGAATGGAGACTATGTTGATGTTACTTCCTATCAGCAAAAGTTAAAATTTTCTAGGTTGGTTTCTTTATATTTCATTATAAAAGTTATTAGAATTGTAACTGAGGCAGGACTGTTCTCCAGAATCGCTGCTCTTCTGACAAATAAAGCTTGTTTGGTCCTATCCTTGACTCTGCATATTGGCTGACAATGACAGGCGGCCGGACTCTCTTCATCCGGAAACAGTTTCACCACAAACTCCAACAAAGTACTCTAGAAAAGCTAAACTAGATGGAAATTTCCTTCACCCTAGAGGCCTGTATTACCTTCTTATCTATGAGCCCAAACCAAAATCTTATCTATTCCCGCTCCAGGGAGAAAGGTACAATCTCATGGTGAACCTGATAACACCAAAATCATTAAACCAGAGGGCCAGCACAAAAGGAACTTTTTTTCCCTAAATGTTTATGATTTATGGAGACACTCACAGGGTCTTGCTTGGTTGCCTGGCATAAGAGTAATGACATGACCAGAGCTTGCTGCCACCACAAACTCCTAAGCCAATGATCCTCCTGCCTCAGTCTCCTGACACAACTATTTTTATTAGGCAGTGTGAAGTTTTCCACTCAGGTGATGGCCAACAAAACACTCATGGTGCCAATCAACTAGATCCTTACCTGCCATCCTTGGGGATGGAGGTGAAAAAAATGTAGGGGAAGCCTTAATCTCAATCCTTTAGGAGAAATAAGGAGAGATGTGTGGTAGGAGTCTCATATCCTCTGCCCCAAAGGCAATCTCACATACCTTATAATGGAATTTACAATAGACTGCCTCTCCACTTGCATTCACCAGCTTGAAAGTATGCGATCCGTATCCATTCATGTGACGATGGCCATCTGGAATCCCTCGATCACTGAACAAGAAAGAAACCTAAGAAATAGAAACAGAAAGCCTAAAATTCCATTTAAATCAAAACATCCTAGATTTTTAGGACATTCCTGTTTCCAGAACATCCCTTAATGACATGAAACACACTAGGCAATTTCCAATGGGACGGGTTACCATTATCATCTCATATGCAGATGATAATACACAGAAGAACTGGAGAGCACAGTGATATATAAATCATTACCAGCATGACTCAAAATGTCGTGAAGGAAAGCTAAAAAGAGTCTGAAAAATAGCCTATCTTGTTATTCAAAATTGATTTTCGTAGCAAATGGTACTACTTTCCCCTCATTTCCCTAATTCAGCATTTGACCTCAGACTAGAGAATTTAATTCTTTTTTTTTGAGAATTTAATTCTTGATACTGCTAAATATTAACTGATAATGCTTTTAGCTATCTATTATCATCACTAAGGTCTCTAAATAGGGGACAATTAACAAAATCAGTCATTATAAAACTCTTCATGATCCAGAAATCTGCCGAAACCTCTAAAAATAAAAGATAGACGCCAATTCCAATCAAATATCCCAAAGTGGAGAAATACAACATGAGGAAAAATTAACACCTCCTACAGCGGAAGAAAATATTCCCACCTGATGCAGAGACTCAGGACGTAAACTCCAGAAGTCCCAGACCATATCAGGATCCTTCAGATGTGTCTGAGGATTTCTCTTTTGACTATGGATAAAGGACGGAAACTAAATGGAAAAAGAGAGAAAAAAATCCAAAAACTAAGTTGACGGGAATTACAGTGTCTTACATTATACATGGCCTGCTCCTAGCCTTATAGATTATAATTCTAAACATAACCCTGGAATTTTAAACTGCCAAACCATAAAATAAACTTTAATCAGCATATAAAATTAGTAGCCATGATACCCGACAGTATTTCAAATCTACTCAAAGCTATAGCGTCTCTTTAAGGAAAAAAATGGACCACCCCTCATACTTGTTCTAGGGCAAAGTCCCTCTTTTTACTAATCATCAATGCTCTGCAAGGAAAACTGAACTTAATTCCCATGAAGTCAATGAATCTTGAAACATCAAATCTAAGACCCATGGTAAGTATTATTACTTGATCCTATTAAATACAGAAAAACATATCTAAAAAGGCAATCCAGACAGCCCAAATTCTCTTCTTTCTGCCTTTCTCGGGGTTCCTCCTCAAATGCCAATCTGTTTGAATATCAATTTAAATTAAAAAAATTTGGGAGAGTACAAAATACTCTATCACCTACCAATATGGCATCCCTGATGAAGAAAATTGGGGTGTTATTTCCAACAAGATCCCAGTTACCATCTTCTGTGTAAAATTTCACTGCAAACCCACGAGGGTCACGAACTGTGTCAGCTGAGCCTGATTCTCCAGCTATAATATTCAAATGGGAAAATGAAACATCAACCAAAGTACTTTATATCCAATAAGCCTAAAGTCATAAAGAGACATTGGGATCTACCCTTTTCAATCCGCTTCCTGGAAGTAAATCAGGTATTTAAGTGCCTGAGGTTATTACTTCTACCACCCACCAGCTAATTCAGCCTACAAATCAAACAAAGGAATTAATTGAGAGTAATAAGAAAGTATATGCAATAATAGCGGAGAGGTTATCTATTCAACCTAAGATAACTTTGTTCCAACAAGTAACTAAAATTTTAATTAAAATAAAGGAAGAGAGAGGCCAGCACAGAGGCTCATGCCTGTAATCCTAGCACTCTGGGAGGCCAAGGTGGGTGGATTCCTTGAGCTCAGGAGTTGGAGACCAGTCTGAGCAAGAGCAAGACCCCATCTTTAAAAATAGCCAAGTGTTGTGGCAGGCACTGAAGTCCCAGCTACTCGGGAGGCTGAGGCAAGAGAATCACTTGAGCCCGGAGTTTGAGGTTGCTGTGAGCTGTGGCACCACAGTCAGCAAAGTGAGACTCTGTCTCAGATAAATAAATAAATAAATAAAAATTTTAAAAAGCAATACCTTTTTAAAAATAAAGCAAAATAAAGGAAGAGAGAATAGTTATGAAGATTAAGGTAGTGAACAAAAATAATAAATTGTCACAATGATAAGGTTGATATTAGGAAAATTAGTTAAAAAATAAAATGAGTTAAAATATAGGTTCTTATTCCTAATTTATTTTTGCATTCGGAGTATTTTAAAAATAAACAGAGGCTAACACAGAAACAAAATTAATTATGCCTTGTGGTGTATTGAGATGTAGTAAGACAGATCTAGTATTAGCTTTGTAACGTGAAAAATCACTTAACCTCTCTGTAATGCAAATAATCACACCCGGCAAAGCAGATCTACAGATTAGAGATGATATCTGTGAAGCCTCTAACCATGGTTGGCATAGAGTTAACTCTCAGTGAAGGGTGGCTGTTGTGGTGGTTACTGAACAAGATCCCTACTCTATACTTCCGTCAGAGGCAACCACTTGTAAGAAATCTGTTTCCAAATGTTACAGACTTGCAGAGGTAGCCTCTGCATAAGTGCGATTTCCTAAGACCTCAACAAACAGAAACTAAGTAACTTCCTACATGTCCCAAATATTTTTTCTCCTATAAAATCTTGTTATAATTTGGAGAAGTGCTTATTTCCTATTTTCTAATACATTTTTCTGGAAATTAAGTTATAAACGTCCCAGATAAGGTGCAGGCTGAGTTACACATCAGCAGTCATGCCAATAGACTGACTTACCAACAGTGGAGAACCGAACTGCAATGGGAGTCCTCTTTCCAATATGCTCAAACACCTTTGCCTTGGAATATTTGGTAATGTCATGTGTCACCTCAAAGTAGCCAAAGGCACCTAATGAAAAGGACACAGAAATCCCCACCATGAGACCATTCCTGAGACCACCAGGCATCTCGGGGAGGAGAGAAACCAATGGTGTAACACCAGCCTTCTGGGAGCTTCCAATATGATGGGAGAAGGGGAAATGCCCAAACACAAAATTACAGGGGTGAAATGCCAAACTCTATGATATCATTCAATGCTAACCCAGGCACCACATAGCTGAAGCCAAGAGGAAGAGATGAGAATGGCTGAAAGTAATCAACACTGACCCAAGGACACAGGGCCTCAGAGGGCCTTGAAGTACAGGTGGGACCTAGAAGAGAAAGAGAACAGGGAGAAGAGAAAATACAGGGAAAGAATAGTTCCAACACTTAACCAGGAAAGCAAGGATGCCACAGAGCCAGGCAACAAACTCAATAGCACAGCAAGTCATGATGGAAAAAACACATGCAAAAAAGCTGGAGAAGATGGGAAGAGTCTTATCTAAAAAGAAGAGATTAAGAAAGTTGGAAATCCTAGCCAGAAGTCCAAGTAAGCAAGTTAAGAGAAAAACTTTTTCCTCTTTCCCGTGGAGCTAAAAAATGTTTTTAGTATTCTTTTAAATGCAACCCCCATCTTTTGCGTCTGTTATAAAAGGAATAGAAATTTTTTACAGAAGTTTTGGGCAAAAGGAAAGGAAAAACCCCCGCAAACCCACCACTTGTTAATACAACTGTCCTCAAGTTCACAGTTCACTTCGGTATTTATTCAGTAAGTGCACCATTTAAACTAAGGTGTCATTGCAGTACACGTGTCTACGTCTGTATTTCTGTACAGCAGGTCCTTGAATAATGGTGTTTTGTTCAATGTTGCTTCGTCATAACATTGATGAGAACAAAAAATTGGTTCCTGGCTGGAGCCAGTCCATGTGCACTCTGCATGTGCCCTCCGTGTCTACGTGGGTTTCTCTCCCAATAGTCTAGTTTCCTCCCACAACCCACAGATGGGTACCTTAGGTTGACTGGCACGTCTAAATGGTCCCAGTCTGAGGGAGTGTGTGTGAGCATGTGCTGTGTGAGTGTGCCCTTGGGTGGAAAGGAGTCCTAGCCAGGATTGGTCCCCACCTTGTTCCCTGAGCTACTAGGATAGGCTCCAGCAACCCAGAACTAGAATAAGGGGGTAAATAATTATCTTAATTTGTTAAGGTATGTATTGATCACATTTATCTCAAAGTTTAATATTACACGTTTGAGACTAGAAATATGCTTTGGTTTAAATTGGTTTCATTTTATATCATTTGCTTAAAGCTACAGTTTCTAAGAACCTATTGACATCATTCAGTGAGGACTTAAGATATTTTTATTCCTTCAATGAACTGCATAATAGAAGAATTGAAAGATTACCATTTTTAAAATAAACTATGATTCAATCTAATGTTCAATCTAAGGAAAAACCATCATTTAAATACTAATTCCCCTCAGGATGAATATTTTTCCTTTCTCCCAGAATGAAGCTCTGGCATTTCCATTTAAGGTCCTCCAAGCCTTTGGGAAATAATTTTTGACTTAAGTGCTATGAAAGAATCCTTTTACAGCCAATGAACACAGCTCTCACCTGCCCCTTTAGCATGCACGACCCTCTCAGGAATTCTCTCTCGGTCAAAGTGAGCCATTTCATCAGTGAAAACCACATCCTGAACAAGAAGGGGCCCACGGGGCCCAGCGGTCATGATGTTCAGTTTGTCTCCTATCGGGATACCGGCCCCAGTGGTCAGGACATCAGGTTTCTAAGTGAACATAAAAGGAAGAAAAATGAAGGTAAGTCAGTACAATCAAACTCTTCATTCACATTGTCACGAGGCACATTATTCTGCAGTATTTATTCCACCTGCCCAAATTCTTTTCAAATTTCCTGTATCCAAAGAAATAATACAATATATGCCACTGCCTGAAATTTACAGTCAGGTCTTAGGAATTCTTGACAAATCTCAACATCAACCTGCTAAGAAACGTGCTCTGAACAGCAGAAAGGCAGTTGGAAGCCTGACAATTTCTCAGCACCTGCTCCAGAGAGAGCCTCCAAGTCCACACAGAAAGTCCCCAGACAGGAGCATCCCCAAAGGACCAGATACGCTTGAAAGTGAATGTCTCAACCACTATGGAGAAGATGGTGGGCTCCAAGAGGCCATGGGAGAACTTATAGATGCTTTGTCACTGCTGTGGCTGTCCGAGTGTGCCCCCTGTAAGGGGCACTCATTTCTCTAAGTAATACCTGCCAGCTATTCACAACATCTCTTTTCAATTAAAAAGAAAAGTCAATGGCTTTTATCGTCACTGAAAATAAACCATTACTCATGAGATGGACTATAGTATTAATGTTCTAAAGACGTCAGATGTCTCTGAAATGGGATAGGCTATTTTACTATAATAAAGAACTCATTTGGGGCAGCACCTGTGGCTTAGTGAGTAGGACGATGGCACCACATACCGAGGGTGGTGGGTTTGAACCCAGCCCCAGCCAAACTGCAATAAGTAATAGCCGGGCGTTGTGGTGGGCACCTGTAGTCCCAGCTACTTGGGAGGCTGAGGCAAGAGAATCGCCTAAGCCCAAGAGCTGGAGGTTGCTGTGAGCTGTGACACCACAGCACTCTACCGAGAGTGACAAAATAAGACTCTGTCTCTAAAGTGATAAAATAAAAAGAACTTGTTTTAATACACCCAATTCTCCAATTTCAGTTGCATCAGAAGCCATTCTGCTGTCCCTCCTCTAGGCAAGAGGAGTATTCTTTAAGTCCCATATGACCCAGGGAAGCTCTTAGCATCATCTAGTTCCATGGTCATACAGTATTTTTGAACACAGACAACTGCGTCTGGTCACTGGGGAATCAGGAGAGACATATGGGTGAAGCAAAGCTGAGCCACCTCGAGGAAGAACTCGATAGGGTCTACTAACAGACCAATTTCACACACCGAGAAATGCGCTCTGCTTAGTACGTATTTCCACAAACCTGGAGCGGAGTATGTATTAATAACTGTTACTCCCCATGCACACCTGCCCTGCATCTTAAAGGTCCCACCTCTTCTCTAGAAGGTGATATGGTGAAGCATGAGCATTTAAACTTTAAATGTCCTGTGAGCTGTTTGAGAAAAGACACCAAATAAAAGAGATCTTGAAATCTGCAAGATGAATAAACAAGACTCTCACACAGCATAAATGCCCCTTGTCCACTAGAGTTATACTCCCATGAAAATGGGAAGAGGCCAGCATGGCACCCAGGAGAAACCATGAATGCCAGCACCAGAGCCTGGGTCCACCAATTACCTCTGTCAATTACCAGCTATGTAGCTACAAGTTACAACCAAGTTATTTTTAAGTCTTAATTTTTCATCTACAAAATGGACAGAATAATTACTGCCTCCCGGAGTTACTATGTCAATTAGATGAGCCAAACGTAAGGAACAAACAGCCTGTACACAAGGCACATGCATACTACAGTTTCACGGACTATAAAGACATGACCTGATGTGCATCATGACAGGTGCACACTCTTCCATCCACACTCTCTCACTCTACCACCTAAATATCCCTAAACCCATGCGGCAGAGCCCCTTCCAGACCATCAGAAACTCAGGGGTCCAATCAACAGTTACCAGCCAATCCCAACCCACTTTTGAGGATACACATGTTGCTGACACGTGTGACCTTCTATAGTGTTGTTTTTAAATGAATCAGAAAAAGAATGAGCAAAATTATAAAACTTCCCCTTTAGTTTAAACCCAAACCTGTACCCTGGAATCATCTGGAGAAGTTTTTAAAGCATCCCAATCCCTGGGACATCCCCCTCAAAATTTCAGATATAAAGAGTCTTGGTGAGGTCTGGGATATTTTTTTAACTCCAGGTAATTCCAAAGTGAAGTCAGGATTGAGAACCATGAGACTTGGAGCTCTTGGCTGATACAAAATTAAAATAGTAACAGAGTCAGTGCAAACTAATTCTGTCTCCTCCTTAAATTCTCTACCATACAAACAAGGTACTCCAGGAAGGCTTACAAAAAATAAAGGGGGATACCCCATAAAGGAGAAGAGTGAGAGGATACCAAGGAGCTCAGTAAAAGTAAAGCTAAGCAGGTGAGAGTTTCATGGACATTTTCACATCCCTAATGCGGGGAAGAAGCTGCCACTACAAAAGAGATGAGACCACCTCCAATCCCCTCCTGATGACCATCAGATCAGGGTAATATGGTCCAGGATAAAAACCACGCCCAAAGGAGGCAAGTACAGAATAAGCTGGATGAATGAATGAAAGTACCAGAGTATGACATGGTCCTCCCTAACGACACTGAACCATGGACTCTTAGAGTAGGAATGCTGGAATTAAGCCATCACTGATCCTCCCTCCTGGCCCATGCAGGAATCAACCCCCTTCAATCCTGTGAAGAAATGAAACCTCACCTATTGTGTATATTGTAAGGGTACATGTCAAATATATTAAGATTGTGAGTATAAATGTCTAAACACCACAATCAAATAAGTAAGGTGCAGGCTATGTTAACCAATTTGATGTAAACATTCCAGATTGTATATAAAATCAGCACGTTGTACCCTGTAAATGCAGTAATGCACACAGTTCTGATCTAATAAAAAATATTTTAAATAAAAAGAAATGAAACCCGGGTTTTGAAGTTACAAATGGAGCATTCAGAATCTCTTTCACTTCCCCACTCTAACAGATAAATTGTCCTGATTTATAACGGCTTTCCTCATTCAAGCTCATATATACACAATTTACCTTCAAAACCAGCCCAGCAGGAAAAGCTTTAACAGTCCGCAACAGGGAAGGGAGGGTCCGGGGAACAACCAGAAAGGAAAAGATGTAGGAGATAAAGCACCCCTTGCTCAGACCTGGCAGTTTGCTTCAGTGTGCTCCCCCAGGAGATTGATTCCGAGAAAGATTTATTTAAAGATCGAGCTTCTGTACCTGCCCATAGATATGCAGAAATATGCAGAAAGACTCTCTTTGTTAAGGAATTCTAGAGAATCAGCCGGGGTCTCTTGCAGCTGGGAGTGGACAAACCGGGCTTCGAGCATTGGGTTCTGTTCTCTGTCTTCCCCCTTCATTAACATTATAATCTCTAGTTCCAGTTTGGGCTAAAAGGAACAGACAGCCTGTCTCTCTTATGTTTTTACCCTAAACAAAATCAATTGTATATGTTTTCCTCAACCTTCACACTGAATTGTAATCTTAAATAGTAGCTTCCTAATGTTACTTCACTTCTTTGTATATGTATTAAATTCTTACTAAATGTTGGAAAGTATATAAGATAATCAGTAAAGTTTAGCCGGGCCAACCAGAGCAAGTCTCGGCCTCCCTTTATCATTCTGTCTGCAGTTCTTTCCCCTGCGTCTCCGATCAGAGGCTCCAAAGAACATACACCATCAAAAAGATCTCTGACTTCAGGGGACGGTTAGGGGGACATTACCTAAGAGGAACTGGCCTAAACTGAAAGATATCAGCAGGTGAGGAGTGGATGCTGTATATTTGTTAAGTTGAAAATAATCAATGCAATGAAGATTTACTAAATAAAAACAGGGAATGGACCACACAAGTTATCTCACTTATGCCTCCCAATAATCCAGCGAGATCAGCATTATGAATCCCATTAAAGGTTAATGCTATATGTTCAGGGAACGTAAGTACTTCATCCGGATCTCAATGCTGCAGGATAGGTTTAACCTGGAACATATAACAAGCCTGGATGGGCAAAGAAATTTCCTCTAACTTGCAATTACTGCTTGCAAGATCAGTGAAAGATCATTTTAGATCCAGAATTTTCTAAAGACAGAAAAGCTTTTCTGTGGCTGGACAATTTTAGGAGCTCTGTATGGAAAAGCAGCATTTGTACCTGTTACATCTCCCTGGCTGCTGGTTATCCATGGCATCCATCCCAGGACAAGCTCCCTGCCCTGCCCACGCCACCCCTCTAGTAAAGCTAAGGGCATCTCCCTGTGGCCCATAGAACAAAACAGTAGAATGACCTGTTCACTTCACTCTTGTCCTCGCTAGACCATGTCCTCCTTTCACATCTAAATTCCTGACACCCTAAGATGATGCTCCTGACTAAGCCAACAGGCCCCACCAGCACAAGTCAATGGTAGTCTGACACTCCCATTATGAGAGTCTGATAGATACTCTCAGTCAATGAGCCAGAATAAGTTTCCATTCTACTTTACTCATTGCCTCAGTTATGCTATACAAGCCACCTAAGGTACTCAATAAATGAGGTACTAAATAAAATATCATGGAAAAAGAAAACGCCAGTAAAGGTGAGAAAAAAATGAAACGATTTTCTTGAAAAAGAACACAAATGGTTACTGTTGGTGCTGCACAAAGTACAATGCAGGCAGTATGCTGACTGCTACTGAGCTGCACCCTTCCTGGCCTTAGGCTAACAACGATTGCACAGAGTAAGGGTGAGGCTAATACATTTAATAGGCAAGTGAAAAACTGCCTCTCCCTGGTGGTGTTTAACTGCATGGGGATCTGGGAAACAAAAGAAAATGCTTCTAAGGACCCCAGGGAATAGAACTACTGGGTAGTTTTAATTTCAGAAAAAAATATAGTAAAAGTTGCCTTTTGCAAGGAAGATAATGTGAGATTTCAGGTCAAATGGACCTGTGAGCACAGAATAACTGAACACATCTCCTCCCTCGTGCCAATGAGCAATGTTTTTCAAGCAAGGCTACGTCATATTATTTTGTACAAAAGTAAACATGTCACCATAGGTG